GGTCGGATTGCAGATGGCGGAAGTGTCGGAGGATGATGCGTTGGCCCACCTCTTCCTCCGTTACATTGATGACTGTATCGGCGCCGCCTCGTGCTCCCACGAGGAGCTCGAACAGTTCATACACTTCACTAACACCTTCCACCCCAACCTTAAATTTACCTGGACCATCTCTAACACCTCTCTCCCCTTCCTGGACCTCTCTGTCTCCATATCGGGCAACCACCTCGAAACCGATATTCATTTCAAGCCCACCGACTCCCACAGCTACCTAGAATACTCCTCCTCCCACCCACCTTCCTGCAAAAATGCTATCCCCTATTCCCAATTCCTTCGCCTCCGCCGCATCTGCTCCCAGGATGAGGCATTCCACTCCCGTACATCTCAGTTGTCCTCGTTTTTCAAGGACCGTAACTTCCCCTCCTCGGTGGTCGAGAACGCCCTCAACCGTGTCTCCCACATCTCCCGCACCTCATCCCTCACACCCCGTCCACGCAATAAGAACCAAAAAAGAATCCCCCTCGTCCTCACGTACCACCCCACCAACCTCCGGATCCAACGCATCATCCTCCGACACTTCCGCCATCTGCAATCCGACCCCACCACCAAAGACATCTTTCCCTCCCCACCCTTATCTGCTTTCCGGAGGGACAACTCTCTCCGTGACTCCCTTGTCCGCTCCACACTCCCCTCCAGCTCCACCACACCCGGCACTTTTCCCTGCAACCGCAGGAAGTGCTACACCTGCCCCCATACCTCCTCCCTCACCCCCATCCCAGGCCCCAAGAAGACTTTCCACATCAAGCAGATGTTCACCTGCACATCTGCCAATGTGGTATACTGCATCCGCTGTACCCGGTGTGGCTTCCTCTACATCGGGGAAACCAAGCGGAGACTCGGGGACCGCTTTGCAGAACACCTACGCTCGGTTCGCAACAAACAACTGCACCTCCCAGTCGCGAACCATTTCAACTCCCCCTCCCATTCCTCAGACGACATGTCCATCCTGGGCCTCCTGCAGTGCCACAACGATGCCACCCGAAGGTTGCAGGAACAGCAACTCATATTCCGCTTGGGAACCCTGCAGCCCAATGGTATCAATGTGGATTTCACAAGTTTCAAAATCTCCCCTCCCCCCACCGCATCCCAAAACCAGTCCAACTCGTCCCTGCCTCCCTAACCTGTTCTTCCTCCCACCTATCCCCTCCTCCCACCCCAAGCCGCACCTCCATCTCCTACCGACCAACCTCATCCCGCCCCCTTGACCTGTCCGTCCTCCCTGGACTGACCTATCCCCTTCCTAACTCCCTACCTACACTCACCTTTCCTGGCCCCATCCCCGCCTCTTCGACCTGTTTGTTTCCTCTCCACCTATCCTCTCCTCTATCCCTCTTCTATCCGCCTCCCACTCTCTCCCTATTTATTTCAAAACCCCCTTCCCCTCCCCCTCTTCTGATGAAGGGTCTAGGCCCGAAACATCAGCCTCTCTGCTCCTATGATGCTGCTTGGCCTGCTGTGTTCATCCAGCCCTGCACCTTGTTGTCTTGAAAGGCCAGTAACAGTTTAAAAGGTAACCTATTCATGTTCAGATCATCTGAAGCTCTCAGGAATTTAAGGACTTAGTACCCACCCCCCTCAATTTTCTAATTCCTAGTGAAAACAATCTGGACCTGCAATATTTTACACATAAAGTCTTAAGCTCTAGAAATATTCTGACCTTCTTCCCAATACTGTCTTCAATACATATGTGTCATTTATTTCAACAAGTTTTAAGCAAGGTATTTCCATAAACCTGTAATAAATGCTGTGGTATCTTTTGAGCTTGCATTTGCTTTTCAAAATAACTAGGTTAGACAACTTACGATAAGACGCTTCCGATGTAGGCGTAGTATGAGCAGCAGTACGGAGGTGAACCTCTGCAGCAGTAGGAAGATATGCAGTCTTCACAGTGCGCACTGAAACACTCTGAATCATTCATAACACATTCTCAATACGTAAAATGTCAAGGCAGCTAAATGAATGCTTCTCACAGTTTGAAATATTATAAAATAACAAAGAAGTTCATTTAACCATCTAATTTCTCTCAAGGTGCAATTAACCGTTCCATACCTTGCACTAAAATATATTTATTCTAATCTCATGCCTCTCCTCTTGTGAATATAAGAGGTATGATTAGTAAGTTTGCAGACAACAGCAAAATTAGTGGTGTAGGGGACAGTGAAGAAGGTTTTCAGAGTACAATGGGACCTTGATCAGGTAGGTCAATGGGCTGAGGGGTGGCAGATGGAGTTTAATTTAGATAAATGTGAGGTGCCACATTTTAGAAAGGCAAATCAGGGCAGGAGTTGTACACTTAATGATAAGTTCCTGGGGAGTGTTGCTGAACAAAGAGACCTTGGAGTGCAGGTTCATAGTTCTTTGAAAGTGGAG